CATTGAAATGTATAAATCCTCAAAGGTATGTACATACCTTTTCAATATCATGTTGCCAAAATCCATCAAAGAGCCAAAGCATAGCATGTCAGACCACTGGGTGGCTTTTGTATGAACAGATAATAAGCCTGTATTTTGACACTGTGTTTTTGTGGTATTATTCATTTCAGTAATGCATTAGCGCATTAGGGTGAGCGCATCTGCAATGGCTTGTGCGCGCTGTGAGAGTGAAAGAGACAGACAGAAAGAGAGAGATTCAGCATACCACTCCACAGTATGTTATCAGGGTGTCCTTGGGCCGCTCCCTCTCTCATTTCCATCTCTGTCTGCTCACGTGTGGCAGACTGTTGGGAAGAGACAGAAACAGGGAGAGGGGGAGAGCAAATGCACTGCAAAAATCCCAAACGCCTGGTGCTCCTTAATCATTCAACACAGTTAGCCTCTAACAGTGTATTTCACATCTACAATCATACTCCTAAATACTTCCCTGAAAACAGATAACTGTCTTGTTTCATGTACCTGAGATCTGATTCAGTACATGCTGTATACCTTTGTTGAGCATCTGCCCTGCTTCCGCAGTCTTGATCTGAGGCCATGCACATGATTTGAGCATATTTCTGCTGCTATATTTTCACATACAATATGTTCCGGCACATATGGCTTTTGTATTGTTGAACCATCTCAGTACAATACCATCTGTGAATGCTGCTTTTCATCTGATGGAATCTGATCTTTTCCTATAGTGATTAAATGTCTTTTGTGGCTGTTTATCTACAGTATTTTGACATGAGCTTTGAATTGACATGATGTATTACTGACTGTAGTTGGTATTGAAACCTCTGTAAAATTCACACCAGCCAAATGACCAGAGGCATCTTTTATTTAGCAGGAAGGAATTTGAGTCTCTTTTCTTAACTTGACTCAGTGTGCACCCTATCATTCACTGACACTATGTTGTTTCACATTGTTTAACATAGGGCTTCAAATGATAATTTTACACAACACCGGTATTTCCTTACCTTAAACACAATACTCCAGAGGTTATGCAATATACTTTGGTTACTGAAATCTTTAAAACAAACCAGTCAGATCAAGTTTATTTGATGAGTCTATATTTTTATACACACAACCTACTGCTGTCATTGATCGTTGTCGTTACAGAATACTACTTGTCTTCATGACCCACTAAAAATTATTGTCCAACACAAAGGTAACAGGAAGTCATGCTGTGCTGTTTGTGTCAAGTTCAAATTCAAGGGTTTAGATAACTCCTAGCTTTGTGAGAACTGGACACTATGACATATAACCCAAGGTGATCCATGAACTTGCCACTCCTTACGGTCTGCACCGTTGTGGTTCTGTAAAACAGACTCCAGGAACATGTACAATAGCTGACCTTACCAAACCATCAACACACTAACAAAACATCCATTCCAGAAACTTCATAATTCCCAACTGAGAATGGCCCGTTGTGTGTGCCTCTGCTCTGAAATTCAACTGGGAGATAAAGAGACTGGTCTTCCTTGAGCCTATTCTTCCTTCAGGCCTTTTGTTTGTGGTGTCTTTGTGTTCCTCTTTTTATCGTAGCCAGACCAGTGGTTCCCAACCTTTTTCCTTAAAGGAACTCTTTTTCTATCATTGAGAAAACTGACCACCCCTGTCTAAGTGACTATTTTAAGGATGTTTCATATTATATTCCCCGCATGACAATAATAGAACAGAACCACTGATAAACTGTACAATGAACCCAAATAGTCAACGCGATAACGGCAGGAAATTTGTGTAAAATGAGAAGCTGCTTGAATTCTGAGCAGATTAATTCCTGTGAATATTGCATCAGAAAGCTTTCCTAATAGTTTAGGAACTTTTAATACAGTTCTCTGTCTCTATTATGTTATTAAAAATGTTTTTATACATACTTAATAGTTTTTTTGTTTGTTTTATTCTCCCTGATGGTTGGCCATTATTCTATTAGCTCTTTGGTTGTGAAAAGAACTTGTGACGAGGCTGTTTAGCAGAGAGTGAAGGCTCTGTGAATATAGCTTTCGTTCAGGTCTTCCCAGTGCAATTAACCTGTGAGATATAAAGAAAAGTCTGTATCTTGAATAATAATCTAAACTTGACTAAAACGACATTTTTCATTTAGTCTTAATTAATGAAATGCCTACTGTATATTTCTTTCAACCCTTAAAATCAAAAAGGCCTCAAGACCCCCTTTGAATCTTTGGCAACCCCAAGGATGGGAACCAGTGGCATAGACATCTGAGCACAAACATCTGAGCTCATTGTCATTTACAATTAGATATATCACATTCAAACAAGTTAGCTAGGTACAGAAATGCAGGTTGATGAACTGAAGTGCAGTGGAATCTGGTTTAGATTTTAGCAAATACAAGTTGGTACCGCAAAATTCAGACTTCAATATAAAATGAGGAAATAAGTGAGGAATTATATCTATCTGTCAAAGATAATGCCTTTCAAAGTACTTAAAAATACAGGAGGCTTTTTAACTCACTGTCACAGCACACACGTACATTAGAAAGGTCCTAGTCCTAAAGAAAAAGAAACACTATCCTGTTCTTCCCTGGTGTATACATTCATCAGGGCCCTGGGGGCAGATTAGGATGCACTGAATAGCGTTCTGTCTGGTATCTATAGATAAAAATCAAGTGGTTGGTTTATCTCCTTTTTTCTAGTAAACAGTTAATGATTGTGTTACAATAGGTCTGCAATTGCAATGTCTTGCTTTTACTGCTGTTGGCATTACATTTATTATCTGCATATTTCTTGAAATGACACATCTTTAAAGAATATCTGATGTTAGATTATTGGTAGAGACCACAAACAGAGGTAAAAGTTGTTCACAACTTAGTTCCGCAAATGTCCAAAAAACAAACCTAAAACTGCTGTTTTCTCAGCTGTATGGAGTGTTTTAGCATTTTTCATCTTGTCGTTTTGGTTTGATGACCCTTTATGTTTTCACCTCGCCGTTCTCTGTGAGGCAGCTACTCACTATACGCTACCTCAATAGCACCACTCAGCAGACAGACACAGTTAACTACTGAACATTTAGGAGCATAGCAGCTAGAGAGCTAACGTTAGGTATTTCTACCTACAGTTTCTAGCTAGAGTTGGTACAGACCAAAAACTGAGCTAAAAGTTGAATATGTGTGGTCACAAACATGGCTTCATATTGCTCAGTATCTCCTGGATGTGTGTACTTATACTAAGTTTATAAGGCAATAATATGCCAGTGTTTACGGCTGGTTTCCACTGCCTTTAAGTGGAAGAAATCCATTGATGCAGGATTAAGGTAGTAAATAACTAGGTAAGTAAATAAATAGTAATCAGTTAATGCTAATAGTTCAGGGAGAAAGGAACATAAGTACTGGCTGGTATGTTTACAGTAACTACACACATTCATATTTGTTAGCTTCCCACCTTAAAACTAAACTCATTTACTAGTGTAATAGAAATAAATACCCTCATTGTCTTATGATATGTGCATTGTATTACTGTCTCACGGCCAGTGTGATATGAAGCGAAGCTGTGGGGCTTTAATCTTTCATTCTCAGCAGTGCAAGAAACCCCCAATATGGAAGAAAGATAGATAGAGCTCTGAATGGACAGAAGAAATATTTTTTATTAATTAAAAGACAGTTAGTGTCTGAGGGTGATGAATGTGGGATCTTTTGTGACTCATGCGGCTGTATGTACAAACACGATCATTGAACTTCATACACTATCTCTAATCCCAACAAGCTCAGAGGTCAATTAGCAAATTATATTATATTCTCTCTCTGTGAAAGCTGTCTCTCTTACTGAGAATGTCGATGACGCTTTAGTAAAGGAAACGGTGCAGACACAAAATGCAAGTTTTCAAGGCAAGATCAGGCTACTTCGAGATTTGTAACTTTGGCTGTGTGGTGTTTTCTCAACCCTGTCCTGGGGGTTCAGAAAATTAGCTTAGTGTAACAGAATCCCTGTTTTTTGGCCCGATCACTGATTAGGGTGACATGAATTGGTCCTTGAAAAGCCTGTCAATGGCCAAGGACAGCCTGCACGTTTCTCTGCAGCTCAGGAAGGATTAGTGTTTTGAAGCAATTGCTATTAGTCTGCTGCACAATTCAGAGAGGCCCCGGGCTTTTCCTTGTAAAGACGCATGCAACTGACAGAAGTGTAGAATATGTTAAATAACCACATTAATACACATCAAGCTTCTTTCTAGCTCAAAGGAGCGGCTTTTTGAAGACAAATAAACAAGATGGAGTGCAGTAATTCATGGACTAAGGATTTAATAGAGTAATATTTCTGCACATGTGGTTGAAGACCATGTTTGTAACACATTAAGATTATCATGTTAAAGGAATTTTAAAGGTGAAATGCAATATAGCGACCCCACACTCAGCATAATTTTGTCTTCTGACAATGACTGAAAAAAAAGGTTTAAAAGTTTAAAACATTATTTTACACTCAACCAAGATGCTGATGTTCAGTTTGACTTCTCTTTTCACTCCACTCTGGTTGGTCCTGTATTACGTTTCAGTTTTCTGTGGGACTAACAGAGGTCTGGAGGATTTTTAAAACCTTCACAACTCTGTTTAACTACTGTATACAACTTTCTGATTTATAACTTTCATTGCCTCATAATCACACAGTCTTTTACTTTAGAGTACCTCTGTGTGGGAGAGTCCTGTGCGCGCCCACACACACACACACACACACACACACACACACACACACACACACAGACACTGACACAGGACCTGAGCCACAGCCTTGTCTCCCTCTGCGAGTGTGTGCAGAGATGAGCAGGACCGCACCTTCTGTGAGCGCTACCTGAAACTGGAGATGCAGGGGTACCAGTGAAGGGTTAGTTTTCACTGTCTTTGTCTTTCATTTTTTTTTGCCCCTCCTGCTTCTTTTAAGCATAGACAGGTGCAGGGCGTTAGGATATTAAGATACAATGCTCTGGTATTTATTGTTTTACGTAATCTCTGTCACTGAAGCCAGGTACTTATAGTCAAGCAGGGTTAAGGAGATGAAAGACCTTAACCAAGTAGTGCTGGATACTCCTGCCTCCACTTCTACACACACTTTCTGTGTTTTCTGTGTGTCTTGTGGAATTAAGCTGCCCGCTATTTGAGCTCCAAGGACATTTTTTCAGTACTTTTTTGGGGGACGAACCCTTTTCTATTTTTCTTCTGTTTTTTATTGTGGGTGAAGATAAATCCTTTCACAACAGGTATGTATTTTTAAAATGAAATACTAAGTTGTTTGTTTGCTTTATTTGATTATCATGATCATTTTCAACATGAAACTGGTTCTGTGACATATCAGTGTCTTTAAATTGTGGCTGTCATTTAAGTTTGTTTTGTGATAACTGCATATTCCTTATAATGTGCAGGGACAGATGGGACAGAGGTTAATTAAGATGTTCATCCTGTACAGTGTTGTTGCAAGGCATATATTCAAATGAGATAATACAATGTAAAACATGTTCAGATTATATGAATTATTACCTTATATTTCTGAACAAGGACATTTTTGAATGCTCAAAAAGATACCTTTGCAGAAAAGAGGATATAGCTCATAAAAGGCTATGGTGAGACATACGTGCTGACAAACGCATTGATTCTCTGTTTGAATGGCATACAATTCTCTCAGTTAAAGAGACTGACAGTATTATTCTCTGGTTTATCTCAGACATTAAGGGGTATTTTTGTGGGGCCGAGATCTTTCAGCTATTTCTCAGCACAGGGAAGCGAGAAGGGAGGGGAAGCAGAGCCGACACAAAAGGCAACATTATTCCCCAGCGGATCTGCGCTACATCCTAGTATGAATGGAGTATTGAAAAACATAACATTGGGGACTAGATTATTTTTCATCCCTCATAACTGAGCCATTTGTCCCGGAGTTTCGAGTGGTTTGTTGGTACAGTCTGCAAATGAGACAGCCGTGGTTCTCGAGTGCTGGGCTTGCTGTGCTGGTGTTAAAATGCCCACCTCCCAATTGGTTGCACAATGAGCTCTCTGTGGGCCTTCTGCGCTGCACCTTTTGAGACAGTGCAACAGTCCAGTGAAAACAGACTGGACCTGGATGAAGACAGCAACTGTCCAGAGTTGTTTCTGTGGCTGCTTTTCTTGTCCCTAATGGCCACACAAAGGTTGTGTGTTAAATGTGCCTCCACGAGCTGAAGATAACTGTATGTATACAGTACAGTGGCTCAAGATTTTAACATCCCCCCTTCTCCCCCTGCATCCTGCTCTCCAAGGAGACGAGAGGCGCCCCTGCAGTGTCATCAGGTGCCTAAGCGTTTTGGAGGGTTCTAGTGACAGATTGCAGGAAGCAGCGTTTATGCCTGACGATGGGGACCACAGAAAGCAGAAATGTCTTTTTGTGCCCCCTGGGTTCGGAATGTCCACTATCTCGAGGGGCCAATATCAAATTCTCCCCTCATCATCCCCTAATACACATTCCTGTGTAAGGTCAGGGGGAATTCTGCATCAGCGAAGAGACAAACAACCCAAGGCCAAGCCGCACACTGTGGTCTCCTAATGATAACATGTTTCTAATAACACGATTCAATTAATTTCAGCTGTATTTGCTCAAAAAGAATATGCGAAATTTGGAATTCAGTCATTACAGCTTCCCAATGGCAATATTATCGTATACTGTATTGCTTTTCCTTTTGGTCCAGTGTATGTGAAAATCAACTATTTCAATTACATCCTCACTCTATGGCATATTTTACTTCTTGTATTTGAATCAGATAAATGTCATTCATCCCAGTTTCTCCCTTGAGAAGAATGTAGGGTATTCGGTGTCTGACCACAGCACTATCTAACTCTGATTATTGAGTGATTGTCAGTGAATCCCAATATTCTATATCTGAAGGAAAATCCCCTTGATAATCCAAAGACCATGCCATTCCTCTGTCTGTAACAAAAGCCTTCCCCAGCTGTTGACGATGCGGGGAAGCTTGGAAAATAAACCTCCTCAGCTCTAACTATCAGTGCGGCCTTCGTTACCTGCTGCCAGGTTGGTGCATGGCGGCCATTTTGTGCTTACAAAACTGCAACGTAACTCGACTCCCTGTCCCCAGTTCTATTGGCAGCAGCAGCACTTTTCGGTGGCACATGCGCCCATGTCTTGGAAACTGAGGTGACTATGTTAATAATCTGTTCCTGGCTTCCTTGAAGAAGTGTTTGCTGTAAGAACTTCCTTACAGCTCTCTAATGCCCACGGAGAGCGATGTGCATCACATGATCTCGAAAACGATTTCTTTTTGGGCTACACATTTCCCAAGCCTGACCTCAGACTACCATCAATACCTACTACAGCACAACAACAACAGCCGCAGGCTCAATCAGAGAAAACAATCCAATACTATAATTAGGCTACTCTGAACCAGGACAAAAAATAGTGATTGTTTTGTAGTAGTAGAAAAGTGTCTACAACACTGTAGTCTACTACATTTAGAAGTGTGTCCACATACAGCTCAGGACTTTGGGAAGCCTGGTGAGAAAGACTGATGGTGTGTGAATGTGTGTGTTGCAGGCGGATGGTCAGTCAGGCAGCCATGCGAGGCCAGCGTGTGGTGGAGAGCGAGTGTAGGTGCTGGAACCCAACCGTCTGGGTCCTGGTGTCTCTGCTGGGAACCCTCGTCTTGGTGGCCTTCAGTGTGTTGCTGCGACTTGGTGAGTTTGTGAGTGGGGGGCTGGGGCCGTGATACCATGTTGGATTTATCCAAAGTCTACAGGTCAACTGGTCAAGGCCTCTCCCTCCAAGCCGCCTGCCATACAGAATACTACATATGATTAGGAAGGGGAAGGATTTTTTATGTATTTTTCTGTATTTGGGTCCATTTTTGAGAAATATTTCATACAGTGATCAAGTAAAGAGATAGCAGATATTAGAGTAACCACAGGCTGCAATACTTTTTACTTTTTACAATGTATAATTTACAATGTACTTTTTATGAGTCTGAGTACAGTAAAATGTGTCCAAATCTGTACATAAATACTTTTATAAAACAGTTGTTCTCTTACTCTTTAGTTTTCTAATAAATATAGCAACTTCTTATCACCCCATATCAATTTCAGGCTTAACTCAACAACTTTACCACTTGTCCACCATGTCGATTAAACCCACTCCCACTCCCAGTCTGGCTATGAATACAGATAAATTAGCTGGTTGAACAGATACAGACAGTGGTACTTGCTCATCATGTGTATTTTCAACTGCACGGCTCACATTTATTAAAAAAGGCTAGGCTAAAAGACAGGTAATTCTCTGGTTCATTGTCATTGTTAAAGAGAACAATGTGAAATATATATGGAAAAGAAATAGTCTCTAAAAGTTTGATGCACTTGTTTCAAGTTCTTCATGGCAAGTATTGGATAGAACAGGTTATTATAAGTGTATCATTTCCTTAAGGGATAACATTTCATACTCTGGCTCAGGACCAGAGGTTGAGTGTATGAAGACTGAAACTGACTCCCAAACAGTATCTAAAGCTATGATCTACCACTGTAACACACCAAACTCCTGTGTCCTTGCTTTTTAAACTCTTAAATAGGATGGCTCTTTCAATCTGTAGTTGTTAAATAAGGACCATCAATATTTTACTGACCACTCAGACTGAATTAACTTTGTAGCAATTTTGTAGGAATGAATTCTGCTACATGTTTGAAAACTTGATTCCAAGGGAAAAGGTTAGTGCTACTGTAAACTGAAGCAGAATGTGACATGTGAGATGATTTATTGTGCATCATTACATGTTTGGGCCGTTAATAATGCTCAAGAACCGGGTGTACCTGCGTATGAACTCCCTGTAGATTAGTGCTTTTGTGTCCACAGTTACTGTCTGCCCTGTGTTTACCAGTGATAGCTGGCTAAAAGCCCTGCAGTTATTCTGAAGGGAGCCAGGATCAATTCCACTCACTGGACATTATGGATCAACAAATATATAGAGAACAATTTATTCAAATGTGCTGACACCAGCTTATTGGATTTGTCTCTTGATAGAGCCAACAGATGTCCAATTGTGTGCCTTGCTAACATTTTTTTGTATTCAAATTGCAGGTGACTTGAAAATAAACAGACGGGCTGTATCCAGTAAGTAATATTTAATTTAATCGCCTTTTACTTTTCGGATCCTCCCGAAACATAAACCTTTAGAATAAGAGCTATGCCTTCCCATATCATAAACCAGGACGTAACCTACATGTGACATTGTAAACAGATGTATTACCAGCCCCTGAAGCTATAATAGGTAGTTTTATATATATATATAGTGTATGTTTCAATGCTATAGACAAATGAGATGAGTGTGAATTGGCCTACATTGGGTGTGATGGTTAAAAAAAATCCCTCTGGTGTCTTTGTGAGTTGTTGAAACCTAAGATATTAGTCTTCAGGCACTATAGTGTCCTTTATACAAGTCCAGAAACCTCTTTTAATGTGGCTTTTGGGAAAGTATGTGTTGTGTCAAAACACATCTCAGAAATGTACTCTCAGGTGACAGCTCCAATGTACATGGACGCTCTATGTTTTGCATCAGAAATATCTATTGACTGTTTTATTTGATTCATTTGGCTCAACATCAAAGACAAGCCTTAATAAAAGTGTTATGATTGAGGGAAAAAAATGATTAGGTGTTGTATACGCACTCATCACGCATAAGAGTTTATCTTTGTCCTTCATTTTCAAAATAAGAGTCTACGAGGCCGAGGCTTTGAGGTAAATGCTAATGCCAACATGCTAACATGCTCACAATGACAATGCTAACATAATGATGTTTAGCATCTATAATGTTTACTGTGTTCATCATCTTAGTTTCGTGTGTTAGCATGCTAAAATAGTCCAATTTGCAGACAACACAAAGTATTTTGGAACATGAATGTGGGAACCTAATTGTATTGTACCATCCAATAGTTACTGATGAATCTGATACAAACGCATGGTGTTGCTAGGTGAAAGGTCTGTGGATCCCCAAATTTAGTTGGATTCCTCCTCTGAGGACCATGAATGTCTGTACAAAATGAAACGGCAATCCATCCAATAGTTGTTGACTTTCCCTCCCGTTCCATCCTGCTAGCATGTCTAAAAACCCTAATTTAAAGGTCCAGTGTGTAACATTTAGGAGGATCTATTGGCAGAAATATAATATAATATTCATAGCTATACTTTTCTTAGTGTATAATCACCTGAAAATATGAATCCTTTTCCTGTTTTTGGTACTTTAAAATTAGACATTTGTATCTACAGAGGGAGGGGGTCCTCTTGTACAGAGTCTGCCATGTTGAACAACCATGTTTCTACAGTATCCCAGAATGGACAAACCAAACACTGGCTCTAGATAGGGCCTTTCACGAGTTTTGCGGCCACCATAATTTGCCATTTGCACTTGGTTGAGTCAGTGGGTTTCAGCTGGTTGTCCACAATCTCACTGCCAGATACCACTGAATCCTACACGCTGGACCTTAGCTGGTGCAGTACCTGGTCTGAACAGGCCTCCTGTTGTGGTTTCACTCTGTGTATAGTGTTACAGGAAAATAGATATAGTAGATATAGAGTACAGCAAATATGGAAGGCCAAGAGCCTCCTTTCAACAAATAATTTGACCACACTCTCTCTCTCTTTCTCTCTCTCTCTCTCTCTCTCTCTCCCTCTTTCCTATATCCCCTCCTCCCTGCTGTTTCAGCCAATGGCTTACAAACCCCTGCGACGATGCAGTACCAAGGTAAGCATGAGCTGTACAACTATACAGCTACTTCCACCGCCGCATCTTCCCAGACATAGTCAGGAACATGTCTGCATCCCGACCACACCATGAAAGCCTATCAGTGGCTGGCTGTGTGTCAGTGTAACAGAAAGAAGGTAGATCAGTGCCTGGGGCTTTTTAAACAAGGTCACTTTCCCAGCTCTCATTTCCCTAATCCCCACTTATTTGCTCTGTAACCTCCCACCCTCCTGCATCCACCTCACTCACTTCCAAGGAGTCATGTGGCTTATTGTGTTCAGAAGTATTTTTTTTCTTGCTATTAACTGTCATTACATTAAGGCCATGCTAGTCTGTCCTCTTATCTGTTTTTTGTTTTGTTTTTCAAATGGAAACATGTTGTTGAAATGTCCCTCAGGAAGAGATTTGATCAGCCTCAGATTTTTCATTAAGTATCACGATCATAACCAGAATAACCTCATCTCAGTCAAAGACGAGAATGTAGTTGTGATTGAAAGCTGACAGCAAAATGAGACCTTGACAGATATCTGCTTTATCTCCAAAGTTCAACTGGTGAATGGTCATAACAGGTGTGAGGGCAGAGTGGAGGTGCGCTACAATGAATCATGGGGCACAGTGTGTGACGACGACTGGGACATGGTGGATGCCAACGTGGTGTGTCGGCAGCTGGGCTGCGGAGTGGCTGTGGCGGTGGGCAGCAGTTCTAAGTTTGGACAAGGCACAGGGCCCATCCTGCTGGATAATGTGGACTGCAGAGGAAGTGAAACAGACCTCAGCCAGTGTCGTAGTCTGGGCTGGGGCATCCACAACTGTTACCACTATGAGGATGTGGGTGTTACCTGCAGAGGTAAAGCCTTTATACAACATTTATGTTGGCTGAGGTGGTGGTGCATCATCTCTTCATGTATAACCCTGCAAAGAAAAGAGGACTAAATGACTAAAATTCCTGCTTACTTTAAATTGTTCTGCTAGAACCAGCAGTGGTGGGGGCAAAAGGTTTTGAGGACCGCACCACACCGCCCCTGGAGAACTCCGGTTTACGTAAGTGCTCCCTGCTTTTATCTAAATGAGACTGGTCTTCTGCCAACCTGAAACATCAGAGGGATGAGTTTGTCTTTTTTTCTTTTTAAAAGAATAAAGGCATATTCAATTATTTAAAATGTAATTTTTTTTATTATTATTTGGCATGTTTGACTTTGACCACTGACACTTTTTTCCTGTATAAACTTAAAAGATGCACTATTCAGTATTTTTACATAACAATGGATCACATAACTACTTGTATGTCAAAAGGGTTGCTTGTACAGTAGTGATGCAATTTCACCCGAAACTGAAGATTTCCTCAGCTCTCTGGAGCTTTATAGTGTCTTTTAGCTTGTTTTGATTTTACTGCCCACAATTTTACTGTATTTGGCATTGTCTTTGGCAGCAACGGCAGCAGTTTTCAGTAAAGAAGCTCTAAAAACCCACTGTACGCTACCTGCTCAGCACCAAACATCAGGCACACAGTTAGTGACTAGCTGGAAACCAAACCAAACTAAAAGTAGAGAGAATGCTGGACTAATTAAAATATTGGCCATATCAGTTTAAAAGCTCAGCTTGTTTCCACTACCCCAGAATGACCAAATAAATCTGTTATAGCATTTGAAAGTACATCAAATATTCACTTTGAAAAACACAAACCCCACCTGTATGTGGCATTCATCTTCAGTGAACACAACTGATGAAACCACCAGAAATGGAATCAGGCCATGGACAGATGCTGCATTGTCTCTCTGCTTATAAAGTAGATCAGACGGTTATTCTTTCCAGTGCAATTTTACAAAATGCTAGTGAAGCTTCCTTGACTGTAGAAGATACTTTGAAAATATGTTGTGTATTCAAAGGACTTAGACTTCAGGCCGGCTTTTCTCTGTGTTCGATAAGATGGCTTATGCTGTAGGATCAAAATCAACAACACACACACACACACACACACAAATCTAGCAGACAGGTGGCATGCCAGATGTTTCTACAAAACGCAAGGGCAGGTTTCATAAAATAATGAATGATGGCTTGTTTTGTGGGTCCAAAATGCGGGAATCATGCATCACACTGAAATTGACATGCACAGTTTATTAAAAAAATAAATTAAAATAAATGTAAAATAAACCATATATTGAATCAAAGGGGTATTTTATTTCAGCCTTGCAAAACTGTCACCAAATTTCACACAGCATCAAAAGCCTTTCAGTTCAGGGGAAAGTATCTGTTGGACATCTTAAAGGAAACAGTACAATGCACCTCAAAGGCCTCTCTCTTGAATTCCAGGCCACTCATTATTATTTGCTGGGTTTGCCTTTGTTGTGGCCGCCCTGTTTTTTTTTTTTTTTTTTTTGCCTTAATTCCCATGAGGTTCCTGAAAGACGAGAGCTGAATCAAATTTAGTTAACAAGTGACGTATCTAGCTAATTCTCCAGTGGCCTTCAGTGAAGCCATCCAGATTCATGTCTTGCTTTCAGGTGGAGAGCATTTTAAAATCCTGGACACATGAGAATGTCTATTGTCTCCTCTAAAGGTGTGTTTTTGTCTGGGCTGAGGCATAAGATGACAACATCAGTGGTTAGCACAATATCAGATGTTCACCTTAACTCTCTTTCCTGCTTCAGTTTTTTTTTTTTTTTTTTTGGAGCCACAGTATGTATTGTATAGGCCCACACCCTTCTCCTCTCTCTGTATCAATGTCTCATTCCCTCTGTCTCATTTGCATAAATCCAAGAAGTTACAGTTTCCTCTGACACCCCTAAATCAGCACATATTAAATTAAGCATTAATACAGATTCTAAAAATATGTTGTAGAGAAATACATATGTCCCTTTAAATCCTCCACTCTCCCTCTTGGTTTAGGAGATGGCACTGTCCGTCTGATGAATGGACAGAACACCTGCCAGGGCCGGGTAGAGATCTACTACCACGGAAAGTGGGGGACAGTGTGTGACGATGATTGGGTCCTCAACAATGCCCGGGTGGTGTGCCAACAGATAGGCTGCGGTAGTGCCGTCTATGCACACACCAACTCCTACTTTGGCTACGGAACCGGCCTGGTTCTCCTGGACAACGTCAACTGCCAAGGCACTGAACCGGACCTGACTAAATGCAAAAGCCTAGGCTGGGGCAAACACAACTGTGGCCACCATGAGGACGCTGGGGTCACCTGCACTGGTAGGCTGCTCTCAGTCATAAGTCAATGTAAAAACAAAAAAATTATGTAAGCAGTTATAAGTAGTTGTGGTAATAATAGTGGCTGTTTATGTAGCAATAGGAAATACTAGTGGCAATGGAATAAGTCAGCTAGTAATGTTGAGGTAAAGATAAGATAAGCTAAAATCTTAAAGTAATTTACTGATTCTCATGGTGATATTGAATAAGGAGGATGAAAAGAGTTTATAATAGCAGTAGTACAGTATAGGTATCTGTGTTAGTGACAAACATTAGCAGTATTAGTACAAATAGTAATAGCAGAAGTTGTACTGAACATATAAATGTATTTATTTTCATTTCTACCCACTTAGGATCCACTACTGTACCTCCTCCGGTAACACAAAACCAGAGAGGGCTCTGGGCAACATATAACACTGAAGGTATACAAACTGTACACAGTAGATGTTCATCTGTAAGCAAGCAAGCACACACTGACTATTACTCCTTTGGATCAGCACGTCCCTTTGGGTTTTCTGGATTTTTTCCACAGTAAAAATGAAATGTGCACTTTTGCCAAATGACCAACAGGGAGAGCCATTTCTCCCCCATTGTCTTTAAATGTGTTACACCACAGTGCCACGAAACATGGTGGTAAAAGTGTGCAACAGCCTTACCTCACCATGATCATTATAAAGAGGGTCTGGTGTATTGTGCCATCAAGTAATCTTGTCATGTATCACATCTTCCCTCCAGCAACCGCTAAAGCTCCAGTCACCAAGGCACTAAGTACAACAACTGTTACCACAACTGCACAGACAAAAGGTAACAATATTAAACTGATTCCTGCTTTGTAAACACAAATACATTATGTTTAAATATTGGAATGACCAGGGGATATTATATAGCCTTTTTCTGTAATTATCAGCCATATAGATTTTATCAGATAAGTCACCTCTTGCAATGTTGTACCTGTTTATTCCTGTGCAGCCAAACCAGCCATTCGTGTGATGAATGGTAACAGTAGCTGCCAGGGCCGTGTAGAGGTCCTATACAAAAATGTTTGGGGCACGGTGTGTGATGATGACTGGGACATGACCAACGCCAACGTGGTGTGTAGGCAGCTTGGCTGTGGCCCGGCTATCGCAGCCAAGGCCCAGGCCTTCTTCGGCTACGGTAACGGCCCGATCCTCCTGGACAATGTGGAATGTAGCGGCTTTGAACTGGAGCTGTCCCAGTGCTTCCACCTGGGCTGGGGTCAGCACAACTGTGGCCATCATGAGGATGCTGGAGTTATCTGTGCACGTAAGACCTCGCTTGACATCATGTGGGGCTGAAAGCAGGCTTCATTAGGGGATACATTTATGACATGCACAGATATGGTAGCTACTGCACACAGAGGATGTCTGTATCACAAACCTCTATCTTAGGTCATCAATTCCACTGAAAGCTCATACTTCCTTTTCATCCTGTCATCTGAGCCCGCCCTGCTGAGATATCCAGTTGCAGTGTATGACTGTAGTACTCTGAGGAGGAGACAGCCCAGAGAGCATAAAAAATACAGTGGATGAGTCAAGGCACATCAGCGTCACTGCATGCCTGCAGGCCAAATTTCACTTCTTTGAGGCTAAATCAAGGGCTCATACAGACTCCCCTTTACTTAGATAGCACATCCTTGGTTGATTGAAAAACATGATTATACATTTTGTTATATAAAGGCAGCACTTTTAAATCAGTTGTCTTAAGTAATTCTGCCTTCAGTGGATAATTTTAATTGGCAAAGGGGAAATAATTTATAATCTATAAGCATCACAATCATTACAAAAACACATTTTAACTGTTGTCGTTGAAATTGCCAAAAAAATGTTGCTGCAATGTGTGTCTCTGTATTGTGGTCCTAAAGGATCCAGAGCCTTCCTATATTGATAACTAGGGTAATCATATAAGAATTATTATATATTATTATTATTAGAATAATTTTATAAGAATTATAAGAGTTATACTTTGTGACCTGATGTTTCCTGAATATGCTCAAGATAACTCTTTTTTTGCTTTCCTCTGCTTCCCCTAGCTTTTGAATACTACATTGCAAATGGACGTGACTTTAGAGTAACAGAAAGGATACCTGCCACCACCACCACTGCACCACCCCCCGAAGGTAGGGTAACTATATCTTCAACCAGCATAAAATTAACCAATTTCCTCTACACTCGGTATTTATGTGACTCATTTTTGTAGGAATGGTAAGACTGGTGGGTGGCCAGCACCAATGTGAGGGTCGGGTGGAGATGTACTCGAATTCTGAATGGGGCACGGTGTGCGATGATGCTTGGGACCTCCCTGACGCCCAGGTTGTGTGTCGTCAACTGGGCTGTGGAGAGGCCACGGCGGCTCGGGGGGAAGCTTTCTTCGGGCCCGGCAAGGGAACAATCCTGCTGGACAATCTCAAGTGCAGCGGTGCGGAGGCCTCCCTGAAGGAGTGCTCCCATATATCCTGGAATGTGCACAACTGTGACCACTCTGAAGATGCTAGTGTCACCTGCTCACTGTCGTGATTTCAGCTGAACCACACTCCCATCTCCACCATGGGTAGGAAGTGGGCTGGGACTTGTATACATTATGTAAATAACAGCTTTCACATTGCTGATGGAATACTCCACCACCAACAACATACAAAATAACTAATATGACAATATATGATTACATACTATAAACTATCTATGCCTATTAAGCACTTTATAAATAAATATATGATATAAAATACAATGTACACTGTTTTTTATTTGATAAACAAAGAAAAACAAAGATTTTAACTGTCTGTCTCTTTTTTTGCCCCTGAATGATAAAATATTTACTGTACATGTGATTCTTTGATGATTAAGTAAGGTGTACTGGAAGAAATCCATCAGTTGTTAATTATGTGGATAAAAGGACACATTTTTGTGAAGTTCAGCTCCAAAATTTGCAAATATGTATGATAACACCAAAATAAAAATGGGAAGAAATGATATACTACAAACCACAAGAAAGCAAAAAAAAACAGAAACACCCATAAATAATGTGTTATATCTTGTGAATATACGGTAATCTCTACAAATAAATGTGTTACTTCTGTTCTGTATACCATCATATAAATAAATGTAACTAAAAATCATTTACATGTGACAAAATAAATGTTCTTATTTTTCGGTACGTAATATATTTTTGGTGTAAAAACATCAGCATCTGCATTTCTCATTGTCCTAAATATGTGCATCGCTTTAACGTTTTAGTCTTCGTAAAGACACGTGCAAATATGATGACTCACTTGCTACTATAGTATTAGCCTTCGAGTTAGTTACAGCAGGATTTACACCTTTTACTTTTTGAGCTAGCGTTTCCCTCCATTAGTCCTTTACCATTCGTAGCTAATAGCAACACGCTAATTATTGAGCTAATACATGATGTGAGCTTATTCAGTCCACGTAACAAAGTGAAACGATAACACTGATAACATCATTTAGTTGAAATGTATAGATAATTGCCAATGAGCATGAATAACATGACACTAACTGACTGTATCCGTATTGGACAATAGGTCACTGACAGCCTACTAGGAAAAGTAGTACAGTGGCCAAATGTGCCAAAGAGTGATAATTGTAGTTAATGTTAAAATGTAGTGTAATAGGGCTCCCGAGTAGCTCAGTCGGTAGAGCTGGCGACCCATATACGGAGCTGCTGCAGCGGCCCAGGTTTGAATCCAAAATGCGGCCCTTTGCTGCGTGTCATCCTCTCTCTCTCGACCCTGCTTTCCTGTCGATCTTCAGCTGTCTCTATCAAATAAAGGCATGAAAAGGCCCCCCTCCTCTCAAAAGTTACATCTCACTTTAAACTCTAAATGGTCCGTAAAACATATGAACAGTAGGGGAGAATGAGTTTGGTCGTCACACTTGTTAGATTCCCTTTCAATGAGTAATGGAAGCATAAACGGTCAGATGGGAATGTAGTGACCTTATTCTCCTTAAGCTTATTCTGTTCAAACGATATGGACTGTCAAATGCGTCTTGTGCACTTATGAGAACCGTCCCCATTGCAAGGTTGGTAGTCACACACTATGGGGTTGGTTGTTCCAATTATATTTTACTAGGGAAAAATATAAAATGGAGGCAATCTTGAAAATGAATTTAAAACGATTAATTTCACTGAAATGCAACATCCCTTGCACTGAGAGAACATAAACAGGAAAGATCCTTCCAATACGTGCATTTTTTACCTTTATGTCTTAATGTCCTCACCTCAATATCACATGTCCTGTAGGTGACCTCTGACCCCAATTCTGAATATCAGAAATTTCAATATCAACATTTTTTAACAGCGCCCTCTTGGGAGTGAGATCTAATGAATGTGACAACCAACCCCGTTCTCCTCTACCGTTAATGTGTTGAAGAATAAAATAAAAAATCACCTTTGGTCTCAGATCAGAGAAAAATGTCAATAATACAAAAGAATTGAAAGTTAGGAGGCATCGCTGTAATGCCAATAACGTTTAAAGATTTAATTGTCCACTCTGGCTCCAACCCAATTCAGGATGTCAGACTACTTTGATTGTGCTGATTATATGTATTCTGGGAAATAGCAAAGTAATTATTGTTATATTGTGCTGTGTCAAGAGGAAAAATCTAAAGAATCAGAATTAAGTAAATATCAAGGAGTTAGTTGTAAAGAAAGTATAGGTTCGACTGACAACTGCCCATGAAACTGCTGAAAATGTAGCACTTTTTATCTCCTGACACTCATAACAACAACAGTCTGGATGATCTTAGAGCACATTAAATACCTTTTGAATTACTTATTTATAGTTATTTTAAATAGACTAAAGAATAAATCCACCATTTCTTGATTTTAAGTTTGACCAGTCATATCTTCAGTTCAAGATATACTTTATAAAGAAATGTATAAATATTTTGATAGATTTTGTGAAAAATGTTAACTTTGATTTCTTAAGGATATTTTACAATCAGAATTAAGTTGGAGACACAGTATAGATCTGAGTTGTGAGATCAGTTAAGTATCACTTAAATATTTGGCTTTCACAGACAGTCAAACCTGCAGATATCTGCAATTGGAGGATTCATACACTCTGATGGCAAAACCTTAATCTTATTAGTCGAATTGTACTTAGAGAATAATTCAGCATCTTAAATTAGCATTATAATTAGTCAATCAAAGATAATAAAAAAGGAGCTTTAATGGCTCTCCATAGTCTGCAGGCTGAAGAGCAAAGTTGGAACTGATTGATCAATTTCAGAAACATCCAGTGTCTACACAGACAGGGAAACATAATGGCCTGAGGGCGTGTTCTATGACTCATGATAAAATGACTCAGCATATCAGCATTATGAGTATCCTTCATACAGTACGTACAACGAATACAATCACTTCAGAAATATTAGCAAATGACATATCCATGGTAACAAAGGTGGTTTCACAAACAATTTATAATTGTATAAGAACAAACCACATTCTGTTCATATATTTAAAAACATTATTTCACATTAATATTAAAAATACAGCACTAAGACCTCCTTATTAAATGATACAAAATGGAACTGCTGATAAATTCTCAATGTTTAAACTATAATAGGCTTACTGCTGTGCTTCTCCACTGTCAAGCAACAATGCTGCAGTAATGTCAAACATAAGACATGAACTGTTTTATGGTCATAGGTGTGTCTTTTCTTTATCAGCTACAGGGTTGGAAGGTGACTCAACCAATCAGATCTTAGGACAGGAAATTGGTTTCCTCGATCATTATTATAAAATAATAAGTAAAACATGTATTCTTAATGAAATATTACCTGTTACAGATATTATACATTGAGCCTTTGTGGTCACTACTGTACAGGCCTTCCATGTACAGACTGTATGTATTCTGCAAACAACAAATAACAGTATCTAGGAGCAAGATATAGCGTGAGAGCATTATCTTGTGCCATACTTTATCCTTATTTCAGTACAGGTTGGGCTACCTGGAAATGGTATTACTCCTTGACCCCAGATAGAAATAACCTTATTTTAACGCCCTCCTTCTCTCTTAGCATGGCGTCCAGTTTCCAGAACTGGAATACATGGCAAAATTTGGTGTGAGGTAATCTGATAACACGCAAATTAATTGAGGATTATCAGCAATGTGAGCTTCATACCAGATGAAATGATGAAGACCAGATTTTGACACAGGGCTCCCTCTTTAAGACGGCCCTCATAAAGCCAGTTGGTATCGAGTACTGCAGGAATGAGTCCTAAAACTTGGGAATTAGTTAGCATTGTGGCAATTCTGGTTCCCTTATCTCAGAGTCGATGGGTTTTGTTGAATGTGTTTTTGGTTAAATGCCAGAAATAAGGTCTGTGGTTAACACAAGCTTAAGAGATTATGTCACCATGACCCTGCCCATGAATTTAGAAGCGTTGACATGTCTTAAAAAAGAAAGTGGCTAAATGAGACTACAGAGCTTATCAGTGATATGAAATGCTAGCACGGCGAACACAGAGCCTTGTCATGTGTATTCTCACGCTTCTGCAAACTGAACTCAAACTTACCTACTGGTAGTTTTTACTTACACGATTTAATTACAGGTTGGAAGTTTAGAGGTGGGGACGCTGAAGTCATATGACCACAGTGTAGTTTATTTATTACTGACAATCGCATAAACGCTTTAAAATTCATTTACGTGGCGTTCATTTGTGAATGAAACGTGTAAGTATCACAAACATTTCTTTGCCACAGAGCTTATTTTCTGTGATAATCCAAAACCCTGTGGAAAAATCACATTGTCAAAGCAACCAGGGCGATGCTAACTTCCGGGTTGGCCTAGAAAACGACGTCATGCCTGCAGTACTGTTGTGTCAGGCCTTTGGAGCAGCCCATGGGGGGTCTGGGGCCCGGGGCCCGGGGCCGGGGCATTGGGCATTTTTCTGGTTGGCAGTCAAGCTTTTTCTTTGCATTCTGCATGTGAGTCATGCACCAGCAGCACCACCACTACACTACATAGAAGCACTATATAAAAAGCACAGAATCTCCCCCTGAATCCGTGAAGTGTAAAAGCCTCCAGTGGCGGACGGTAGGGCAATAGGCTGTGCTGTCATTATCCTCTCCGGACTGCCAGCCTCGTTACATCACTCCGTGAAGACACGCCTTTTTGGGTGGTGACACAACCGAGGGAAAGTGCTCGGAGGGGGAGGGGTGTCCCGTCCGTCGGCAGGCACACAGACAGCAGGCAGCAGCTGCAGCGAGAGCACCCGGCGCCGTTAACTCTGCATTAAAACATTCATATTACGATTTTTAGCTCCGAAACACACGGGACAGCAACACACACACATCTAAAATGGTAGACCGCGAGCAACTGGTGCAGAAAGCCAGGCTGGCCGAGCAGGCAGAGAGATATGATGATATGGCAGCTGCCATGAAATCGGTAAGTAACGTTACGGGCTTCCTCTGTAATGACCTTTTCTCTTCTGGATCATTTCTCTCATAAACTTACCTCTTCAATGTGTGTGTGTGTGTGTGTGTGTGTGTGTGAGAGAGAGAGAGAGAGAGAGACAGAGAGAAATGTGTAAAAGCTAGCTAGGGTAGCGTGAGGGGCGGTAATACGCAGACTAGGGACTGTGCCTGTGTGTTAGAGCACATTTTGACTTAAGCTGATGTGACCAAACAAAATTGGTGTATGAAACTTATGATTAAAGACTCCGTTTGTGAGAAAGACGCCATTGTGAGCGGGATAAAAGGCGGTTATAATAAGATTTGGGCAACATGATTTTGAACAGGACTGCAAGGCCCATGAAGGCTATGTTAACATTTCACCCTTTCCATACATGTCAGAGGTGTCAGTGACATGGTTTTGATACGGTGAGATGAAATGTAAAATGAGGGATTCACTGTGAACCGGAGGGTTTTAGTGGCGGTGTGCTGCGGAGGATTGTGGCTGTCTGCGGACTGTTTGATCTTGGGGCGGTGCCTTTCGCCAGGCTCCTTTTTAAAAAGGGCCAGGCTGCCTGCTTGTGGAAGACCCGAGGAGGGGGGGGGGGTAAAGCACCAAATAACCACAGGACGACATTAAACCGTGTGTGCGGCTCCAAATGAGGGCTTATTAGTGAAAGAGAGTGGAAAAAGAGCAGGTCGAAAGATGCGCATAGTGGCGGAGCAGAGGACGAGGCTCGGTGGTACCATGATGATGAGAGGGGACATCGTAGGCTGGTGGTCGGGTTCCGGTTTACATGATGCTGAGCTCGAAATAATGAGCCATCGATTTAGTGTGGAGTGCCACTTTCCTTTAGCTGGATGTGGGTAAATAAGCAGGCTGTGTGTCCCTCTTGTCGCTTCACATTTGGCGCATTGGGGAAGAGCAATGTTGGCTGAAGGTTGATCGCAATCGATTTGCGCAGAAGCAGCGCACAAAATACGAAGCGTTCACCTTTCAGACGTGGGTGTTGGTGGACGGACGGCTTTCCAGAAAGCTCTGTAGATGTCATATTGCAGCAAATGAGGCATTTTTTTTTTCTTGTTAGGGGGGCCTGCAAACTGTAGCATGACGGGACTGCCTGTGTGAATCGATGCTGTGTAGTAGGAACCCGCATCCCTGCGTCCTCGACCTCTTACAGCAGGTTTCCCACACAGAGGCGTGCCGCAGCATCTGCCAAGATGCAGCACAGGCCCACCCGTAGTGCACCATTTCATAGGCAGCGTTTTAACACAGCTCCACAAAGGCTGCATCTCTCTATATCGGCGCTGCCCGGACAATAAGATCATAGAGGAGTGGACCAATCGGCAGATGTCGAGGAATGATGTGCTGTGTAAGAAAGGCCCACTCTCCTTTATTTAAAAGAAAGGCCATAATGTCTGTGCAGCAGTCTGTGGTTGCTAATAGTGACTTTTGAGTGGCGATATGAGCTTTTACTGTGTATTTTATTGTTCTATTGGGAGGCTAGTAGTTTCTGTGTCATATTTTCCTCCAAAAATGATCATAGAAATACTTCCTTTTATGTTTATCAGTTGTGTGTGTTTCCTTTATTGCACAGGCCAGTGTTAGGGACAGTGGCCTCAGGGTGAGCCCAGGCTGTACAGGGCAGTGGTCGGGTTTAATAGTAGGGACAGCCAGATTAGTGGAAGCTACTTTTTCTACATGGGCTCCAGCTCCACGAGTCAACAAGTAAGCTGTCAGCGTGTTTAAAGGCCATGCTGTGTGCTGCTGCTCTCTAGGACCGGGCTGTAGTGCCAGAGGGGGGGGGGGGCTCCACCCCTTCCCATTTGTGCCGAGTCAGAGAGAGAGCTGCCCCTCACCCAGCCAGTCTCTCTGCAGCACTGGGCAGCGGGGTGTGTCTGCTGCCTCGCCCATCATTTGAGGGGAATCCCTTGCCACTGCAGACATGGTTACCGCCCCGGTGGCAACGGAACCAAATAACCAGGATCGCAGAACACGACACTGCACTCATCCTCTGGAGGACTGTAGCGCTTCAGATTCAGGAACCAGGCCCAACCAAAATGAATGATAATGATAATATGGCGTCCCCACTGCCTTTATAAGATTATAATCAAGTATATTTTTACAGCATCAATAATTTAGTTCCCCCATTTCTGTAAGATGAAATCAGGCACAAAGGGAAATCATCTTTATTATGGAACAGGCACGGTTTTAGTCTGGTTTGGTAAATGAGAGGCAGCTTGAGTTCTTTTATATTTTATTTGTCTGAATTTTTACATCCAACAAAAAATGTTCCAGCAGAGAGTCATCACCCGAGGTCTCCCAAGTTTTTTCCAAAAGCTGTGTGTGAGAGCAGCTTTAAATTCTGCTTGTCCTCTTTCTGTCTGTGGTGGGGGACAGGTATGAGTGATCAATAACCGGTCAGAGATGCAGACCCAGTTGCTGGCAAAATATTTTGAAGAGTCATCATTCTGTTGTGCATTCTGCTTCAATCTACAGAGCACAAAATTGTGTTGGTCTCTAGTGATTCTATCAACCTCGGACCAAGAGTCCAAAAATGAAATTACCTCTAGATGAAAAAAGCCACATGAAATGAAAATGAGGTTTTTAGTTGTTCAGTAAATGCTTCTGACTAGAAATGATTCAAAGGAGACGTGAGAAGCCGGTGACATTCCCAAAACATGATCTCTCTGAGAAATGTGCGTTTGTGTCCCAGTCATTTGGTAAATGTTAGCACGTACAAATGTTTGCTACCTCTTAGCAACTCAATCATGCGATTCTCAAATGCTGTGGATGAATATGAAGGTGACGGCTTCACAAGATGTACCTGCAGAGCGTTACATTAGCTCTGTTAACTTACCCCCATTTAACTCGCATATCTAACGCCTATACATGTCACAAATCCATGCTGGGATATAATATTTCTTAGCTCATTAGCAAGTGCTCGTAATGTAAATTTTTTTTTTCTGACAGTAGACAGGCTCACTGCACTGTGCTGCCATATAGTTATACTGTACAGATTACAAAATGCTCTATTAAAGTACATGCAGTTGACCTTTAGGAGTCATTTTTGAGAGTGACTGTGAATATTCATGTAAAAAGACCTCAGTACTACAGTCTGCATATCTAATGAAACCATTACATCATAGTATCCACATGGGCATGGTGCCTCAGCCCTGTGATACAGTAATGATTCATCCTTAAAGGCTGAAATAATAAACCCAAGTCAATACAGCAGTTTTAATGTGAGAAATGCATTTAGTGTGTTAGAAATATGTGTTTTTCACCAGCAGCTCTTAAAAGAGCATGCAGTGTTTTTGCATGTTGTTGCCCATTAACTTCAAACTGTATGCATTTTATTTTCTAAGGGAGATAAATATTTATTGAGATTTTTGAATAAGCTTTTTCTACCTCGTTGGCAGCCATTGCTTTCCTTTCATTTTCATTCACCATGGAAATCAGCTTTTAGAGACAAAACAGAAACATACAGTTTTAATAATACTGATAAAAGATGTATTTTTTCAAACCCCACACTCAATTTTAGCACATTCATCTTTCTGCTTATGTTTTAGTAATAATGATCATTTTCACGCAGCTTCTGTTGAAAGGGTACCATTACATTTAGAATTTTAGTGACATTTGTTTTTGTTTTGCACTCAGTATATCTCAGTGCTTCTCCATTTGAGGAATAAAAAAATAAAACAAGATGCCATTCTGGGGGAAACCTTCAACTTAATTCCCACAAGAAATAAAATATTCTAAATGTCAAGTTATTCTTTCAAGCGTTTGAAGCAGAGAAATCAAATGCCTTTGTAAGCCACCCAAGGCTTATACTCCTTTCATACAAACCCGGGTTTGATGTGCTTTACTGAACGCATGTTCAACCCGGGTTTGACCTGATTCAGCTTTTTGCAAGTTAATCCCGGAGCGTCACTGTCCAGAGACTTCAGTCTGCAACTGTAATTACATAGTTACACAGCATTAGATTATGTAAAGTAAGTAACTACACAATGAGGGTTATATTTCATTTTCAGTTAATTTCTCTCTGTCGCCCACTCACTCTCCGTCTCTCTCGCTCTCGTTCCCTTTTTTAAACGTGCCAGGTCATACAAGTACATGCAAGTAACACTAGCTGCGGTCCCCATCGTGTTCACCTGAGGTAACCAACTGATGTTTGATCCTGGTTGGGATGAGGATCAGGAAACTATTTTGGACGAGGCATGTTGCCCCACTCAGATCAACCACACGGGGGTTTAACCCATTTCACTGTGTTGGTCTGAGAAGGGGTACTACAGATCTCAGTATTTGGCATCCAGGGTCCCATAGCAACAGTAGCTAAGAAACAGTTGTTGTCCTGGTCTATGGTTTATACAATGCTGTTCCAGCATTCACCAGTCGGTCTATGTTCGTATCGTCGCCTATGGTCATGAGCTTTGGTTGTGACCGAAAGAATGAGATTGCAGATACCAACGCCAGGGCGGCTGGGCTCATTTTAGAGATAGGGTGAGGGGCTTAGACATCTGGAGCGTGCTCAGAGTGTATACTTCTGTGAAATCAGGGTCTGTTAGAGCTGTTGCACTGAAAACAGCTCACTTTCATAGACAAACTAAAGCTTGAGCAAGAGCTTGAGTGACCATATCCCGTATGATGTGCTGATTTGACGCCATTATTTTAAATTAGGTTTGACACACACACACACACACACACACACACACACACACCTCTCTCTCTCTCTCTCTCTCTTTCTTTGTCTTAGGAAGTGCATGGTACAGAGAGCCAAGGCTTCCATCACACTTAATGAACTGAATGCATTATTCTCCCATGGAAGTCGGGTCAATGCATTAACAGATGCATTGTGCTGCAGCTGCTCCATACACTGAATGTATGTTCAATATATATATATATATATATAAGTTTGCTGCGATTGATAAAGAAATAGTTTTCACAAATGTCTGTAGGTCTCACACAATGGCCAATTATCTGACTGTCTGCAT